TATACGCACAGTTCACAGAGCCCTTTTTGGAGAGAGGTCGCTCCTTTACAAGCTAGTGACGTAAGTGCGGAGTTCAACCCGAAACCCGCAACATGAACAACATATGGATGGTGCATCATATCAAATGCTTCGTCATCATCATTTCTTACCAAAGGAGGAAGGAACATATCGGAACCCCGCTTGAGCCAGGATGTGCAAACAAGATCCACAAGCAAACGAAGCCAACAGCAACGGAGCTAAAACTAAAACAGCAACAAAAACAGCTTCTCCGGCTATTCTCCGATTCCTCCGGTTGTGCGACGCCATTTGCATCACTGCGCATCCGTTCAGGCCCCAGACAAAGAACACTTCTCTGCTCACTGCCACCCATTGCTTTGAAGGAGGAGAAAAAAATACTCAAATTTAAAATAGACGGCAACAAAAAAGGTTCGGGTAAGGCTTTATGAATTTATACCTCAGGGTTTTGAAGGCCTTCCAGCCAAGAAAACCCGGCGTAGCTTTCAAGAAAGAGAAACCCCTGTTGTCTTCCTGTTGCTATGAGCTGTCCACAGACCAGGCACAGGGTCACAATGGGTATCAAAACCACAAAGTAAACTGTTTTTCCATAAGACCTCAGGCCTGAAAGTAATAAGTAAAGCAGTTGAATGTTTTGGAAGCTGAAAAGCTGAATCAAAAACTGAAATTATGATGGCAGAATTAATATTTTTGTTTTCATGGACGTCAATCTTCAGATATTGTAAAACAGCTGTTGAATTTTCTGTCCTCCCATTTATTGTAATATAGATACTGTACAGTAGATATATTTCACTGGGAAAAGCATGTGCATGTACTGTATTGAGATGTCTTCAGGTTGTATTATGGCTTTGGAAATTGAAGAATTCACAATTCTATTAAAATTATGCCTTGTGTTACTGAAAAATCCACTCATGAAATAAACAAGACACAAATTCCAATGATGAGGTTTTTAATTCATATGGCTCTCATTTGTTTTAGTAGTTCCTTTCAGTTTTTCTAGGCACATACTCTCCTCCATTGGTAGATTATATTGATTCATAATATATACTTGTTATTTTCCAGTTTCAAGAAATATTATCAATTTCACCTCACACATTGATGCATAATTTCAAGATGATTTTGAAAATTCAAGTTCTTGACCATTCTTGTGATTGATGAAGTTGGTGTGCATTTATTTCTACATTGAATGAATTGCAATGGTATGGACCTTCAACTGTAGGATTTTCTGAATTATCAACTTGCAAAAAATCCATGGTGCACCTCATTTAATTCTTTCCTGATGATGCCAGCATGAGATCCATGAGATCATATAGGGAAAAATAGGAATAAAAACAACTTTATTATTCTCATTGTGCATACCATATAAGCTGTATAAGAAGTGGTCTGTTTATTTATTGTCAAAATATGAAAAGTATCTCCTCACCTTTTGAAAACACTAACAACACTGCCATCCATAGGATGGCCAAGTGGAATGCAGGTTCAAACTTGATATTGCTGAACACCATGCTGAATGGCATTGTTGACTCTGAAAAATTTTGTCCAAGGATTTTTCCACTGAAAAATAAAATGTTAGATTCAGTTCCTTTGACCTCTTTTGAGTTTTAAACCAGAAAAATCAGAATTCTGCTCACTGGAAATAGTCTGCAACTGGTTTGGCAGGGTTTCTGGCAGATAATGGTGGGCAACCTGCAAGTAAAAAAGAACATCATGAGCTCATCCATCATTGAAATACCCACAAAGCAATGGAATTTACTTCTTTCTACAGTAAATCTCATTATTACTGCACTGCATAAAGGAAAATGCTGAAAATTAGGGGCACGATTCTGATCCTATGCCCAAATTAAGTGGGAATAAGCCCTATTGGAATCTTGCATAATTTCAAGAATTACAAAACCGAGGTATGGTTCACACAAAAGCAGTGTATGCAAGGTGCATGATATTAATTGATAAAATGCAGTTCAGTGCATGGATTAATCTATAAGATGTTCACCATATTCAAATTTCAACAAATTTCATTACCCGAGTGCTGGGGAGCTATTTTTGCTGTGACCCCACAGTAGGTGCACACCAGGGTCACAACTGTTGGATATGGGATATTCTGGGGTTACAAGTGTGCACTCCTGAAGAGGAAATTTTGCTACCATTCCA